ACACATTATACCGACTCTGAGCCGACCAGTCCTTGTTGTACCCATTAATGCCGAGCGGCAGGCAGGGACCAACAAGTACCATATTTTAAGCGTCATTTGGTATGACGCGGTCGGGGATCGAACCCGCGACCTTCCGCTCTCCGGGCAGACGCTCTACCCACTACACCATGGAGGCGGTCCATTCCTTTGTAAGGTGTAACGTATTCCTGAGTGTGGGGAGGAGAGCCATCATTATATCGACGATAAAAAAGCCAGCTTAGCAAAACATTGAATTTTCTTCACCTATTAGACTTTTTTTTAAATCTTAATGTGGAAATGAAATGTCACATTCAAAAAAGGAGAAACCTCTTGGGATTTGTTTTCTAAATCGATTTAGTTCCAGATCCGGAAGTAAGCTGAAAAAGAACAGCCAGCACACAATAGTTTTGTTCAGCAGCATATAAAAATACCATCAGTAGAGTGATGAGAAAAGAACGATAAAACAGCACCCAAATGAATAAATATTTTGACAACGGAGTCACAAAATCTGTCTACGCACTGAGTTAAAGTTACCTCTAGTGGTTATGTCAGTCCATTCAAGAAATCAATAGTATGTAATTTTCAAGTGATTTAATTTTCCAGCCTTAGCGTGGGTGTATGGGTCTTGTGTGCCGTAATTCTTGTGTGCGTCCTTCAGGCACGCCAAAAACCTGGATTGATGAGTTGGAATCGCTGTTCGAACCGATAATGTTTCTATGTCTACTAGCACTATATCAAAGCGGTAAATTTCTAAGATCTGCATCGCTTCGGGCGTTCCTCAGGCATCATGTTGATATACATTTGTAAATGGAAACTGTAAACAGCGGCGTTACAGACAACTCACTCACGCTCTTTCACGCATGCGCACAATCTGTTCCTGTTAGTCTGCAAACATATAGGATGTGACTGGACAAAGGGATCTCTGCAGGAGATAGAGGTATGCAAACTTAATAAAAACGTCTATATATTCTCGAGGACTTATTTCCGAATCTAAATTAGAATTTTCCTATTACAGCCTACGGTATCCGTCAGAAACTGGGAGTCCAATAAGTAATTTGGCATTAATGTTGCTGTAATCATTTATCGGGTAAGATTGCTCGAAGTGATTCTAAGAAATTGAGTAACGAAGTTACCGGCAGCTATATGTAACCCTTTGACTGTTTTAGAAAACATTATTGAGTATTGGGGTGAGTTGAGTTTAACGCCGCTTTTAACAGTGTTCAAGTTATATCACGGCGTCTCAGCTTGATGTGGGAAGAAAGCCTGAAGTGTTGCAGTCTCAGATGTTTGCCACTTTGGTGAAACCGACGAGCTCGAGCATGGTGCTCACAAACCAAGAGTGAGTGAGTTTGGTTTTACGCTGCTTTTAACAATATTCCATCAATATCACGGCGGAGGACACCAGAAATGAGTTTCACACATTGTACACATGTGGGGAATCGAACCCGGGTCTTCGGCGTGACGAGCGAACCCTTTACCCACTAGGCTAAACCACCAACCTTCCCCCACCCCACCCCAACCACCCCACAAACCTGGTAATGTCGGCGTGGACCTGGATTCACCTGAACTCACATTCCAAGGTGTTCAGACAAAAGGGACGCAATTCTGCATTGCGAATCGCAGCACCTTAGACGACTGTGTCGCTCATGCTGGCAATGAATATCAAACTGATCAAACATGACAAATTATTATGAAAACGGAGTTTCGCAAAATTAGCATAATGCACAAAAAGTCATACGGACATATGCATTGCCAGTCACAGTTAATAGGCAGCGATTATAAGTATAAACTGACGTACAAACAAACGAGTAGGATTATTTAATGAAAAACAACGAAAATATTCTGAAAAGTGTTTTTATTGTTGAGAAGTTGTAAACATGTTTCCAAAACACCATGTTTCTCTTTGTAAAATATTCACGAAATGCCATGTGTGTAGTTTCTTTGTAGGTCAGTTTATTTGGACAATACGAAAAGTCACATAAATATAATTGATCAAGGCGAGCCCCAGGTTTGGAGAATGCGTGATTATGCCAGATAAATTACGGTACCGTGACATACTCGGCTTATAATCTGTATCTATACGTTCGGGTATCTTGAGCCATTAAATAATAGACAATTTTTTATTGGCAGTACATACACTATGATGACATTGCATTAGTGTTGTAAGCGGTAGAATGACGTGTGGGTAAGAGTGAGTGAGTGAGTGAGTGTTGTTTTACGCCGCTTTTAGCAATAAATGCATAAATGCATTTTCACCCAAATCACTCAAAAGGATACAGATAGGTTGCACCGAAATATACGGAAAGTGAGTGAGTGAGTGAGTAGGGGTTTACGCCGCTTTTAGCAATATTCCAGCAATATCACGGCCGGGGTACACCAGAAATGGGCTTCACACATTGTACCCATGTGGGGAATCGAAGCCGGGTCTTCGGTGTGACGAGCGAAGGCTTTATCCACTAGGCTATCCCGCCGTGGGTAAGAATAATCGTTCCCAGGAGAGTGACCTTGTAGGGATGAAATCTATTTGATCAGTTGTGTGTTGAGCATATGTTGAATCTGGGAGAACGACTTACACGATCTGACCGCAGTGAATGATGCATGTGACCAACACCATCAGCAGTTTCAGTAGATGCGGTGTAAAGTTAAATGTACAGACACACGCAAAGGGCGCGGATGCATTACCGACGTCGATTAACACGGGCTGGGTGTGTTACTGATGAGTGATGGACGTTGTCCACTATCTGCATTTTGCAGACCAGCAAGAGACCAGGTCAGTCCCGGATGAAGGATCAATCTCGCACCGAGACATTTGCTGCAGTTTCTGCACGAGGAGGTGGACTGGGACTAGCCTAGTGGTTAATGCTGTTGCTCGCCAAGCTGAAACCACAACCCTGTTCGATTCCCCACACGGGTACAGTGTGTGACGTTCTTCTTTGATATCCCCCGTCGTGGTATCACTGGATTATTCATAAGTGAGGGGCGTGACACCATGATGTCCTGCAGTGGTTGAAGCGTTTGTTGTTCACGCCAAAGACCCGTTTTCGATTCCCCACATGGGTACAACGTGTGAAGTCCATTTCTGGAATATTGCTAAACTCGGCATGAAACCATATAGTCAGTCTCTCAAGTTGTAAGATACGCTGAAATTGCGTCAGGAAGACAACTTAAATGAACCGTAAGTGTTCTTCGGTGGAGCCATTCTCAGAAAGTTGAGCCTTACAGGCGTAAAGCCTGATATTATGGCCGCATCAATAACTTAATACGAAAACGTGACTTGAACGAGTTGTCTCCCCTGAACTACTTAGGTCACATTCCCTCAGGGGATAATTATGCTTATCAGAACTTTGTGAGTGGAAATGCGAGCGCTGCCAATATTGTTGAGTACATAATACTGTTTCTATGTTTCGAGGTTTCTATCAACGACTCCAACAAATTATATTTATCATCCCCTTATCATCTCTATAACAAGCTTCGACTATCTGAGAGGGAAAAACAGCCCTTGGTGTAGTAGAATCTGCAAGTTACCTACTAACTACGAGTCAGAAAGGTTCGATGGCTGCTTGTTGCACGAACAATGTATACTTTTCACCACCGTTTACAAGTTCCTGTAATTGTCTTCGCACCAAGATGTCTCTCAACGCTACTCAACTATCACGTTCCTACACGATCTCCGAGGTCACAAAACAAGGACCTGTTAACATGATAGGAAAAATCTATTACGACCTTTATAGATGTAGTACGTCTTCTCTGGACAAGCTCCACATGTCAATAAAGTCAGCACCACATCTTCATTTCTTCCGCTGATAACAGCGTAAACCCCATCTCAAGGCTACACAACCACAAGAAATGTACACATTGTATGTGGCACATACGTACGTGTATGTGTGCATACGGTTCTGGGCAAATTGCGGAGTGTCCAGTTATGCAGGTTGATCGCCATCATCACCATCACCATCATCATCATCATCATCATCATCATCATCATCATCACTGAGATGCGAATGAATTGCAAAGTTTGATCGCCATCATCATTATCATCATCATCATCATCTCTGAGATGCGAATAAATGTAGCCTAGCTGGCGACTTGGTTGACAATGTGTTCAAGTGTATTGTTGCTCATGATAATAGTAACTGGTGTATTTGGTCCAGATTCGACTGTATTTAGTCATAAGCTATGGTTGATGAGTTCGGATCTCAACAACAAACAGACAATCAAACGAAATCAATTATTAAAATCGTTCAGGGTGCCGTTGTATAAAACGATGTTAGAGCTAAGGTGACTCATGAAGGTCCGGGTTAGAATGAGCCTTCAGTAACCCATGCTTGTCGTAAGAGGCGACTAACGGGATCGGGTGGTCAGGCTCGCTGACTTGGTTGACACATGTCATCGGTTCCCAACTGCGTAGATCGATGCTCATGCTGTTGGTCACTGGATTGTCAAGTCCAGACTCCATTTGCAGACCGCCGCCATATAGCTGGAATATTGCTGAGTGCGGCGTAAAACTCAACTCACTCACTCACTAGCGCTAAGGTGAGCATTACTCCTATATTCATGACATAGAAAAAAACAAAAACAAAAAAACCCACAAAACTTACGACTAAGGTTGCTTTGTACAACGGCACCCAGGACTTGGATTGTGAAAAGTTGCTTCGTCTAGTATTTTCTTTTTAAAAAGGCCTCAAAAGCGGGCTCTGCATGAAAAGTGCTGTCCAGTTTGTAAAGGGAGCAGTAAGTCTCATCTGACCGTATCTTCCTTCAAAAACATGTATCTTAGACGAGATATATCTACTTGTATTATGATTACAAAAGGCCATGTTCGTGAGGGCGCAAATAGACCTTAATTCCGGTCCAAGTCACCCCTATAACTGATCATATAACTTATGGAATAACTAAACGAGATGTTATTGAATAAATGATAACGTCAATAATGTGTCTGTAAACAGAACTGTATATTACCAAATTAAAAAATTCACATGACAGACCACAACTGATACCGTTTTAATGCGATTAGGTAGAAAGGTAAGCCACGCATGAAAATACCTTTCGCATTCAAACTGCTTATATTTACATCTTACATGGTGAATTTCATAAGCAAATGTTTCACGAAAACTGTATTAAAGAGCACACATATTGTAAGGGCTATTGATTATGAAAGTTAATATTTGTTAGAATTTATTTATCATATATTAAATGATACTGAAAACCTTAATCGCCAACAAATGAAACACTTTCACACTTTACATTCCTTTACGAGTTCATTGCTTCTGAAATAGGCAGTCTGATAAATAATATAAAGAAGCGAGTTACGTCGTATTTGAGTATATTGCTACCAATGATGCAGACAATGATATAGTGACTGTTAAGATGGTCACACAGGATAAAAACGTGTATGGAAACTGGTGATTTCTGTTTTGGTCTTAAAGCATCCACAGGTCCATAGACGATGGGTGGTTAAATAAATACCTACAAATATTTAAAAACGCATCTTCATAGGCAAAGTAGTGAAACGGACTATAAAATCCATTTTCCATCCTTGCCGAACCAGGCTGAAATTATTATTACAGCTAGATTAAAGTGTCTATGTATATTTTAATTAAAGTCATGTAATGAAATCGAAACTCGTCTCATTAAAACTCCATGTTATCTGCTGTGTGGAGTTCAGTCGAGTGCAGGATCTGAAACGTGAACTCTCAGATGTTGAAGTGAAAGGATGCACTCCGCGATGTAAGACCCGTTTTATTGCAGTGGAGATCTTGATTGTCAATTATATCGCCTTGACTCAGCTCCCACTGCATTTTTCAAGCACGTTCTTATGACGTAAGAAGTGAATTTAGATTGGTCATTTGGAGGGAAGCATAAGATGCATATTTCTTGACAGCCATTGGTGGTACTACGGTCGGCAAGGGTGAAAACTGGTCGTATGCAGTCATTTACCCCCCTTGCCTTGAAGGAATGTTACAAGCACTACACACATCATTTCTTTAGAACAACACGTGGGACTCCGAAATACACAAACTCCTTCGTCCCTAGATAGCCCGTCCCACTCTGAGCAGATCTTTCGCTTCGTCCAAAAGATTTTCTATGTCCACTTTGAAAGTTTGATAACGTGTTGGTCTGTTTGGTCGGGTTCATCATGGATTCTGCTATTTCCTTTGAACCTTTTTCGTATTTGATCAATCGTTTCAAGGGAACATTAGTTAATGATTTGCCCAGTGGGTGCTCCCGGAAGTCCTGTTCATTGAACGATTTGGCTTCATCTACAATCTTCCCATTCACTGCGCTTCTCCACATCGTCCACAGATGAAGGTTCTTCAACGGGTCAAATGCCTTCTTAAGTGCTTCCTCTGGTTTGATCTTTCCTTTCACGGGCCTGTCCGGCAAACGGTCAGTGTCCGAAATCTTTGACCTTCTTGTTGAAGCGGTGGGAGGTTTCTTTGCCATATCTGGAACATGAAATGAGAATATATTGTTAGTATACCGATAATGTACAGGGGCTCCTTTTCTAAGGTTAACCTTAACTCCCATTCTTTAATATTGCACTAAGGTTACCTTAGTAACTTACGATCACCTTAGTGCTTTGTGAAAGGAGGCCCTGGTGTGTATTGGCTGGATAACTTGTCGGTACTTCTTGTGGATACTTGATGGATGCTGATTATATGTTATAATATAATAAAAACAGAACGGATTCATGGATGTTTGATCCAGCTAAAGAGTGACTAGTGAGTATAGTTTTACGCCGCTTGTAGCAATATTCCAGCAATACCACGGCGAGGGACACCACAAACGGGCTTCACACATTGTACCCATGTAGGAAATCGAATCGGGTCTTCGGCGTGAACGCTTTAACCACTAGGCTACTCCACCGCCCCTGATGGAGCTAAAAGGAAACAAACAAGATTATGGCAATTGGATGACGATGTATTTATACAGACTTCAAAGTTCTCTTTGGACTTTGGTTTGCTTGTTTGGTGACTTTATTCAGCCAGTCACGTTCTCTTAACATTTATGATGTCTTGGTCATATTTTGTTTCAAGTATACATTTTAATGCCCGGCACGCAAGTGTAGGTCAAAGCCAGCACATAAGAGCAGTATCTGTTGGGATATTTACTGATACATATGTGAATAATACAGGCCAGGTACGTACTTCTTCACAAAAAAACTTGGACACGTCTATACGCGAATATATACTTCGGGAATCGGGAATCTCGACAAATATCATCATTGTTTACATTTAAGTCTGTGTTACCGAAACAAGGTGTTTGACATGGGCGTAGCTGAAGCCGTTTAACAATTGTAGGCAACTTGGTTAACATGAATGGTGACGCAATTTAGCGAAGACAAGTAGCTCCCCCCAAACTCAGTGAGGAAACTGTTCCATGTTTGAGTCTCAAAACCTCTGCGTCTTTTTACCAAATTTACAATTTGTGTGGGATGTCTGACTACATTTCGTAACGACACAAAATGCATTGACTAGGACGACTACAAACAAACGTGATGTCTCAAATGCTAGAGAAGTGTATCTGTTTGATCTATCGGGCGGATCGCGGATCGACGCGAATGGCCAATATTGCCAAAGTTATATTTGTACTTTAAAACGCCAATTTGTGGGAAATTATCTTATTGCTTTTATCCAAAAACGTTTGAGGTATATTTTTGTGTGTTGTCAATGTCGTTATGGCTCTCTATGTATACAATCATTAATGTCAATCAAAAGACATCACATGTCCATCTTGAAGTGCGACCCCTCACCATGTCTCTTTAAATACGATGTGTGTTCCTAACACAGGATATTAATCATCCCCAAAACCACAAGTGTCACAATGTATCTATATTGGATTAATACAAAATTATGGTTTAGTATGGATTAGTGCCACAATGAAATTTTTTTTTATCATCATCAACGTAGATAATATTTATATCTTCGAAGACAATATCAAACGCCTTTTCGATACGTATAATTCTTTATACTGCATGGAAAATTAAGTACGACCTTTGCAAATGTATACGTAAGAAAGTATCTTCTACGTAGATGAAAGTATCTAAGATGATAATATTATCTACATAATTATATGAGACTGTGGCACTTATAAGCTTCCACAGGTGTGAATGATAATGCAGGCATATGAACACAGACTCGCAGTTATATTGATGGATACATGGGAACCTAGATGGACCCGGATAAAGGCAATGAGATTGAACAGATGGGTGGGGATACGCGAACATGCACGAATATATAATGAAGACATTGATAGAAATATCAGAAGGTTGTTGGACATACAGGCGTAGACTGACTGACTGAGTATGGTTTTACGCCGTTTTTAGCAATATTCCGGCAATATCATGGCGGGGGACACCAGAAATGGGCTTCACAAATTGTACCAATGTGGGGAATCGAACCCGGGCCTTCGGCGTGACGAGCGAACGCTTTAACCACTAGGCCACCCCACCGCCCCTACAGGCGTAGAGGTATACAAGAACATGAATATAGGCAGGTGCATATGGGAACATGGTGTTATGTGGCAGTGTGAATAGACTTTGTAGACGGGAGACAAGTCCGGTGTGGAAATTTGTAGGCCTTCCTGGAAAATGTCTTCTGACCCAGAGGTCTTTCACGGACAGAATTCCAGATACCTTCCAGTTTCAACATGGAATTAACACGTAACGACAGTGAGGTCAGCAAACAGATGTATACATATGAAAACATAGTTCGGCAGATGGGGTATATATACGAGAACATAGTTAGATAGGCATATGTGGTATACATACGAGAACACTGGTAGGCAGGTAGGGTATACATACGAGAACACAGTGAGAGACACACGCAGAAGGGTACACATATGAGAACATAGCTAGATATGCAGACAGATGTGAGGTGGGCAGATGGAGTATAAACACGACAAGGTTAGGTAGGCAGATGGGTAGGCATATGAGAACATAACTAGTTGTGCAGATACGAGTAGGCAGATGGGTAGGTATATGAGAACATAACTAGTTATGCAGATAGATACATGATTAGATCTACAGACAGTTTTGATGATATACAAGACACACTTAGAAAATTGTTTCCTAAAAATAACTGTTGAACCGACGATTTGGTTTGGTACAATGTCGTCAGGAATAACGGGATGTTGTTGTATCTGTATTAACAGATGGATAGTGAAACATACACAGACAAGGCGAACACAAATGCTTAAAACAGACAAGTCAGCATATGTACAGATCTACAGACCTACAGATACATCACTAGATGGATAGAGGTAAGAGAAGATCGATAGACATAGCTAGCTACAGATAATAAAGATAAACAAAAACAAGGAATGAACATACATGCAGATGGATGGTGATACGACTGGATGGATACTCGCGCAAGCAGATACAGAGATGGTCGAGCGTCTGAAATGTTTCACTGTAGAACTGCTTAGTTTCAAACCTACGTTGTGGCTACCCGCCCACGATGAGTTCATAAATACTGCATACACAATTCAACAACTGCAAGGGGCGTGGTGAGATAATTCAATGTTTGCTCGTGAGATTTCCGTTTTTCAAATCTTATCAATGTTCCACCCAGATCAAGCAAGTAGTTATTTTGTTTGTTTAACGTTTAAGACCCTTGGTACTTCAGATGCCATGTTTATTGGCACTAAGGAGAGTCTAGTGTAAACGTTTTGAATAGTGAGTAAGTTGGAGGTTTGAGATATTGTTTCACTCATGTCATAGGATCCAGGGCCTAGATTTTTTAAGCTCTCTTAGCGCTAAGATAGTCGTAAGTGCCATACATTCACATTAACTTACGACTATCTTAGCGCTAAGAGAGCTTTGAAAATCTAGGCCCAGGTTAAAGGTGAGGAGGACTCGTAAATCTATTAGAAATGGAGCTGGAACATAGAATTATTCAGGTATTGAAACGCACACACAATTGCTGATCTTGGCGGTTGTGATTCACATGTCTGCACATAGACTTTCGTAACTTGGCACAATGTCCACCACGTTTCTCAATAACTCACAAAGATAATTATCGTGAAGGTTCTATTTTGACTGATTCAGCCTATAAAGTACTTACATCCTTTATTGCAGACTGAAACACTCTATACTTAATTACCCGTGAAGATCTGTGTTAGAATTGGTCTTCAGTAACCCATTGCTTGTCGTAAGAGACGACTAGTGGGATCAGGAGGTCAGGCTCGCTGACTCGGTTGACACATGTCATCGTTTCTAAATTGCGTAGATCGATACTCGTGTTGTTGATCACTGGATTGTCTGACCCAGACTTTACCATTGATAGACCGCCGCCATATAACTGGAATATTGCCGAGTGCGGCTTTAAGCAAAAAGCAAACAAACAATGCAAATGATATGCTTTCTGTTTTGAATGGTCAAGAATGATAGTTCTCGAAACAATCAAAGTCAAGAGGAAAACACAATAAGAAGTGTTTTAAAAACTTTGAGATTTTCTTTTCAGTTTGGTCGGTTACAAGCAAGCGATACACATTTAGTCATATCTCTGAGTTAGATGTGATAGATAGTGTTGTTAGACAACAAATAAGAGAATCGAAGCCAAGAATGTCATTTTGCACAGTGACTCCACGCAGTACTACATGACCACCCGTACACACATGAACATAATATCATTATCAATACCCGGATATATAATATATAGCTTGTACTGAGCAGAAAAAGCTGACTAGGTTCCCTCTTGAGAAGTGGAAACCAGGTATTGCTTAGTACTTAATATCACACGAATTGGACATGGCTGATGAATAGACCTTCCTGTGTCCAAAGGCAGAAGGTGTTCAGGTGGGCCCAGGGAATGAATGGGTCACAATGCACACAACCTGTACACCAAAAGCTTCAATGCGAAGTACGTGTTCTGCAAAGAGATCAAGTTGCACGAGTTCGAGAGGGGTTGAATTGAGCAACAGCGAGAAACATTCTTTGCCATAAAATGCTTGTTGGAGTGTTACGCCAAAGGCCATAACTACAGGACTTAAATGTTTATGAATGCTGTTTGCGTGGGATAGGCATGTGTATAACGGAATATACACTAGTATTGTCAGGTTACACATACTTGGCTTTTTCAGTGAAGCACTCGACATCATTGCCTAGTTACCGTGAAGTCAGAGGTACAATGAAAGTTACACCGAATGGTCGCCGATATCAGAGCAGATAGTGTACAGAAGAAATGTTAGTCCCTTTATGTTGGTACGTATCGCTTTCAAAGAGAAGATTGCTGATCCACGCTTGTGTCAGGTATTCAGTATTTAATAAAGAGCAGTGCAATCGACAAAGAACACCATATTATACTTCCATTATTAAATACAAATAATACAGGTACAAAGTGGGTATAATGACATACTACGGTTATTACGAACACAAAGGGGAAAACTTATTATAGTTCGAATAACCGTGGCTCGTTATACGCATTTTGACTAAAATACACCTCAA